TTATAGTATTACATTGGATGTTCAAGGTCCATTATATGAGTGAGAACATGTGATATTCTGATCTTTGTTTCTGTGTGAGGTCACTCAGTATTATAGACTCTAGTTCCAAAGGCTTAACATCCTGGATCTACAAGACATTCGAGAAGCCAACAAACACATGAAGAAATACAGATATAGTCTTTCTATGGCTAGGCTGGTCTCGAGATCCTAGGCTCAAGTGATCCTCCTGCATCGGGCTCTCAAAGTGCTGGGATTATAGACATGAGTCACTGTGCCTGGCTGTACATTTTTTTTACATTGCAATTGAGTCCTTACATTATATGTATGAAAGAGAAGATTTTGGACACTGTTTACTCTTACTTTGTGCAATTTATTCTGATATCTTTTATTTCAATTGTTTTGTTAAAAATTGTTGACTTTTAGAGACATTGAAACAAACTTTTTATTTATTTTTTATTTTCTTATTTTATTTGAGTTGGAGTCTCACTCTGTCGCCCAGGCTGGAGTGTAGTGGCACGCTCACAGCCACTACAGCCTCAGCCTGCTGCAGTGCCCCTGCTGGGCTCAGGTGATCCTTCTGCCTCAGTCTTCCAAGTAGCTGGAACTACAGGCATGCGCCACCACTCCCGGCTAATTTTTTTATTTATTGTAGAGATGAGGTCTCACTAAGTTGCCCAGGCTGTTCTTGAAATGGTGGGCTCAGGCAATCCTCTTACTGCAGCCTCCCAAAGTGCTGGGATTATAGGCGTGAGCCACTGTGCGTGGCCTATTTTTTAATTTTTTTTTAAAGATAGTGATGGAGTCTTGCTATGTTGCCCATGCTGATCTTGAACTCCTGGCCTCAAGGGATCCTTCTGCTTTGGCCTCCCAAAGTGCTGAGATTACAGTTGTGAGCCACCATACTCAGCTTGAAATAAATTTTAAATTTTATTTGTATTTAAAGTTATTTGACTGAATAGTTGCTTCTTTATGTTAAGTGCGTAACCTTATTTTTATTTATTTATTTGAAGGTGTGAAAGGATTTATTGAGAAGATAAAAAAGCTCCCAGAGTGGGAGGGGACCCAATGGGGTTGCCTCAACTTTATTTTTAATATTGTTTATGTAATAGATTGTTCATACTGTTAAGTTGATCAGTGTGTTCTGTTAAATCAGTCAGATCAAGACCTTCTAGGGACTTGCTTTTTTTTTTTTTAAGTTGTTATCCATGCTAGATTACAGTGGTACAATCACCACTCACTGCAGCTCAACTGTCTGGGCTCAGGCAATCTTTCTGCCTTAGCCTTCTGAGTGACTGGGACTACAGGTATGTGCCACCATGCCCAGCTCATTTTTTGATTTTTTTTTGTAGAGGTGAGTTCTCACTATGTTGCCTTTGCTGTAGGGACTTATTTTTTAAGTAAGAGTACCACTTTATCATTTTTCTCTTTGAGGTCTTAAATTATTAGGAGGGTGGGAGAGATAAAACTGGAGAGAGTGTAATCTTTAAACCACTGTTTCCTTGATTTTATACTCTAGAACATTAAGATTCCCTTCGAATGTTTTATGAAGAGAGTTTCCTTGGGGTCAGTTAGGTTGCTGACTACTAGTTATTGAATGCTAGTCCTGTACTAAGCATTTGATTTCCTTTGTGTCACTTAATCCTCACAGCATTCCATAATGTTAGGAATAAAACCAATAAGTATATGGTCTTTCAGAAGCAGAGAGAGAAGAAATGGTTTCAAGAAAAAAGGGAGGAGACTCAGGTCTATGAAGATAGCTGGCCAGGATAACTTGTAAATTCTTCCGTTACACATGTAAACTATAACGAACTCTTAGAGAAGAAAATCTCTAGGTGCAAAAAATGAAGAGTAAACTGTAAAATCAAAATGGTAGTTGAGGACAGGAGAAAAACTTCGGGTGAGGAGTGGGAATTGGGACCCTGACCCCAGAATAAAACTGGGACTTTCAAAGGACCTTTATTAAAACAAGGGAAAAGAAAAATTATGTCTACTGCCATGGAGTGGTGACAGATTTTTCAGTCTCTGACTTTTTTGTGTGTGTTGGGGTCTCACTCTGTCACCCAGACTGGAGTGCAATGACTGCTCCCTGCCACCGCAGCCTTGACCTGCTGGACTCCGGCGATCCTTCCGCCTCAGCCTTCCAAGCAGTACAGGCGCGTGCTACCACGCCCGGCTAATTTTTGATTTGTTGTAGAGATGAGGTCTTGTCAAGTTGCCCAGGCGGGTCTTAAACCCGCGGGCTCAGGCAATCCACTCACCTCGGCCTCCCAAAGTGCTGGGATTACAGGCTGAGCCACTGAGCCCAGCCCTTTTTTATTTTTTTGAGTTGGATTCTCATTCTGTCGCCTAGGCTGGAGTGCATATGCCTCGACCTGCTGGGCTCAGGTGGTCCTTCTTCATTCTTCCAAGTAGCTGGGACTACAGGCATGTGCCACCATGCCTGACTAATTTTTTGATTTATTGTAGAGATGAGGTCTCACCAAGTTGCCTAGGCTGGTCTTTAACCCCAGGTGTTCCTCTCACCTTGGCCTCCCAAGTGCTGGGATTATAGGCATGAGCCACTGCACCCAGCCAGTCTCTGACTTTAAGTGGGCAGGGATAGATAAATCTCCTCTGAGAAACTCTGGGTCTGGGCTTTATTTGGGTGTATGTTTGAAATTTCTGCCATGTGATTAGAAACCCAAAGTCAAGAAATTAGCATGAACAAAAATGGTCCTAGATTAGTAATATTCCTTGAGTGTCTGGCAAAAGCAAATGTAAAACTACTCTTAGGGATAGCTTTTTTTTTTTTTTATTTTTTTTTATTTTTTTTATTTTTTATTTTTTTGAGTTGGAGTCTCACTCTGTCACCCAGACTGGAGTGCAGTGGCCGCTCCCGGCCACCGCAGCCTCGACCTGCTGGGCTCCGGCGATCCTTCCGCCTCAGCCTTCCAAGTAGCCGGAATTACAGGTGCGCGCTACCACGCCCGGCTGATTTTTTGATTTATTGTAGAGATGAGGTCTCGCTGCCCAGGCGGGTCTCGAACCCGCGGGCTCAGGCAATCTGCTCACCTCAGCCTCCCAAAGGCGCGGGATTACAGGCTGAGCCACCGAGCCCGGCTAGGGATAGCTTTCACAATTTAGGCCACAAGAGATTTTCATAGAAAAAGCAATTTCTATGAAAGATGAGTTCACACAAAAATTACAAAATATTCCAGGAAATAGTTTTTCATGATTGGATGTCAACAATATAATAAACAGGAGGATAAAATAGAATAGCAATCTGAAGGATATTAGAAATTATTTTTAAAATGTGTATATTTCCTTTTTGGATTGTTCATTGTTAGTATCTAGAAATGCAACTGATTTTCGTGTGTGTTGATTTTGTATCCTGTAACATTGCTGAATTTGTTTATTAACTGACAGATTTTTTTGTGTGTGGAGTCTTTAGGG